AAATTATGCATGATTATTAGAAAAAAATATATAATACTTGATTGCAGATTATTCTTTGACAGTTAATTTTCAAAATTTTCAAAATAATACAAATACAAATAAATTTGTAGAATATTACGTTTAAATATTAAAATTAAATGTTTTTCTACTTAAAGATTAACAAATTTGAATTGTCACATAATTACGCGCTACGGAGAAGCTTCAGAATTCAGAATTAATACAATGTGTAAAGTATAAAATAATAATAATTGTAATGAAAACTCGTATCATTTAAAATCGTAAATACGCGTTGAAAAGGAATTTATATAAATTCTCTAATATCATTATCGACATTTAATCAAGCGTATTAATTTTACGACATTATTTAATATCTTAAAAAAAAAATAATTATTATTTTACCGAAAAGGTGAAAAACAGGCTCTTATGCAATACGAAATCCTTGAAAACAAGTGAGTAGCGAGCAAGAATTCTATTTAAAAAACGGGTTTGAAAAAACTTCTAAAAACTTATTAGAACAAAATTTTAATATGAAAAAAAACAACAACAACAACAACAACGATAAAGAAAAAAAGGATGTTAAAAGACGTTACGTAATATTAATTGAAGATATAATACACAAAAGGAATGAAAGGTGTCACTTATGTTTTCTCGGTGGAAGGGAAATGATACGAATCTGGAGAATATAACAATGATGCGCACGGGTTAAAAGGATTATAGCAGCCCACGCAAGCGAGCCGAAGGTCCTTGTCCTTGCCATAATGTCTTCGGCCCTCGGTCATTTGCCTGAAACGCATTCGTTGTGATTTCACGCGCAGCTTCAATGGCGTTACAATGTAGATCCAAATGAATCATTTGATATGTGCGATTTCACGTCCCGATTAGTTACGGGACTCGGTCGAGTAAAAATTCGTGATTTGCGTTGAAGTTGCGCAAAGAGAGGGAAACCTTCTAAGTTTGAAACTTCACGCTTGCAGAATTCAAAAGAAATGTCTAGTTAAAAAATAATTGCTTATTATAAATTTTACAATTTAATATCAATTACAAGTATATAACTCTATTTTTACTATTACGCGATACGTTCATCCAAATAAATTTCTTTCTATCAGATAAATATACAAAATAAATATCTTTATAATGCGATGCTCGAGTTGTTCAATAAGACTTGATCATAATCCTCTTATACGAGGTTTAAGGTATTGTTGGCCTATAATAACACGAGCGATAGTACTGCCCAAACTGATTTGTTATTGTTTCGTTTATGTTTACTTTCACGATATGATTCATTCGAATATTTAAAAAACTTGAATAAATATCAAAGTTTAAGCAGTATAAAAAATATATTTAACACGTGTAGAATATAGAAAAAATATCATTATGAAAATTTATATTTGCGTAGCATGTGATTCTTCAACATCCTCGAATTGATAGAGAAAGGATGTCGACAAATAGACTATAATAATTTTATTTTTTAAATGTATATATATCGTATATTTTACCTATATAAGAATTAATGTAATCTGACATGAAATGAATAAAAATATTAAATTACTAATTAAATCTCTAATTTTATTTACAGCTTATATTATTTTTTTTTATCATTTTATTTTATTTAATTTTATATATTTATCTTATATTTATATATTTACTTATCTTATTTAATTACAGCTTATCTCTTGATCTATGAAAGAAATATATAAGATAGCAGTATTCATTGAACGTATCTTATAAACAAGATCTTATTACAAATCCTTTCCCTGTAAATATTATGTAAATGTTATAAATTAATGGTAATATTTATTTGTTAAAGGAGGAAATTTAATTAAAAGATAAGTACCATCGCACTTCTACCGAAAAGTACATATATTTTATTCATTAACCTTATTCACAAACTTTATTCATTATTTAGCTATTGAAAAGGAATTATATAGATAAGACGAAAACATTATTTTCATTGTATTTTAAAAAGTAATGATGGTTTGAAAATTCATTAATTGCTCTATGGATAAGTTGTCCAGAAAATTAAATGAATTTTATAATTATTAAAATAATAATGAAATTTCTTATTGAAGAATCAATTGCAATAAATTTAACTCTTTCGCAAAATTTATTTACAATTAACGATATTTGTTTTTTTTTTTTTTTTTTTTTTTTTTTTTTTATTTATTAAATACTTGCAAATAAAATAGATATGTATATTGAATGTGTTATGTATATTGAACAAATTTTTAATATCTATGTATGTATAAAAGTACTGAAACATGGCCATAACGATTTTTCGTAAAAAATTGTAATATATTGAAAATGTAAGTGGACACATTTTCATTTTAACATAATGTTATTTCAACAATTTTCGTCAACTTTTATATAACCTTTCTAGGTTATAATTTTGAATTACATATAATATATTAAATAAAGGAAATTTAATTTTAAGTTGTACGTAATTTATTTCTATTACTTTTACGATTATTTTTTAATTATATAATACGTTCCCGCTCTACTATTAATTTATCAATTATAATAGTGAATATAAAAAATATTTGTCTAAACTTATTTATTTATGCTTAAATAATTTTTACAATGTAGCCAATTAATATTAACATATATATAAATATATATTATTCTAGATAACTAACTCTCAAATTGTCTCTCTCCCTCATTTTCTTTCTTCTTGTACATACAAAAATTACTAATAAAATTAAATATAAAAGTAAAGAAAATATCAATAATAAGTTAGAATATTCAACGATACGATGATTTTATTATACTACTCGATGTTTTCATTACTGTTACTTGCACTAATATCTTATCGAATAATATTTCGATAAATGTATCTAAATATATTTACATTACCAGAACTTATCACCCACAAGTTGACAAATCTGGTATTAAACAAATATTTTCACATTGAATAATTTTTTCTATATACAAAATGAAATAAAATATGAATGTGCTAATGAAAATTGTGATAAAATTTATTGTACATATTTTATTATAAGTATAGTCGAGTTTTAAAGTTATCCTAAGTTGTTCCAATCTATTATTTCCTATCTATTTTGACAATGATAATGGAGAATTTATTCGGAGTCCCAAAACTGCCATATAAATTAAGCGATTTAATTTAGCCGAGGGATGGAGATCTATTAAGTTTTGAAATTTTCATTTCTCGCTGAATGTTATATTGGAACAATTGCAATGGTCAATTATGTTTTAGAATAAATAGTTGAATATTATATATTTGACATGCTTGAATTAACGAGAAACGAAACTGTAACTTAAAAATGAAATTCTTTTAGTAATTATGATTGAATGTGGTGTTCAGAAAGGTTTCAGTGACACATGTGTAAGAATGTCCAGCGTTAAACTGGTATATGACAGACACGAGACCATATTTGAATTGCTGATGTTTATCTGAATTATCGATCACTCACAAATATCTCATTCACTAAATATATAATTCCAACGAATGAAATATATTGCTTATAAATACTAATGTAACAATCTCCTGTTAAATTAAGAATATTTGTTTAAAGATTTGTCTCAAAGTTTTCATTAGAAGGATCTGATGTCAAAGTAGTGTAATTTAAAAAAAATTTCTTTTATTAAATGAATATTTCATGGTCGTACGTAACATTTCGTTTTGACAAAAATTTAAATAATTTTAAGCTCGAATTGTTTCAATTCCGTTATTTCTTGGCCGCTTATTCTTTTTCACTTTTTAAAATCAACAACTCTTTCATCAATTTCTTAAATCTCATTGATATTATCATTTATTCAAGTATTTAGCTCGTAATAAATAAATATATAACTCGTTGATATTTTCATAAGCGATATGCGATAATTTATTTTTCATAATTTTTTCAATTATATATTAATCTTTCATTTCAAATAATAACATCTTTGAAGAAATATTATCCTATCATAGCTATCGACAAATTACCCGATTATCTTCTTTCTGAAATAGATTATGTATTTACCTTGTAATCGTTTCCCTTCAAATTGACATTTCTACAAAAAACAATAAACAAAACAATCCAAATAATAACATTGAAGCACGAATAGCGCGAGTAAACCTTGCTTATTGTTTAAATAACCCGTTGTTAAATTAAAGCCTTTCTCAAGGCGCAGAAAATCAGCAGAGCATAAGAAATTTTCCACTTGAATGTAATTAGCACCTTAACTCTACTACCCCCCCTCCCTCCCTCCCACTACCCCCCCTCCCTCCCCCCCCCCCTCCCCGCGCCCCCTCCCCCGCTCAAACCTAGTCGTGCTTTCCATTATTCTCGCATTATTTTCAACTTATGTATGTCACGCCTGGACCACTCGAGAGAAAATCCCAAAGAACGGATACCGCCAGCTTCCCGTAACATCCTTTCTTTCTATTTAATTTTCATCGTTCGGTTATAGCTTAAGTTGCGATCGACGGGAGCTACGTGTGCGCAGCCGTAATAGTGTTGCGCCACGCCTAGGCGATGCTCGCTTCCGGGGCCTCCCGGCTCCTTCCTTTAATCCCGCTCTCCCCGTCGTGGCGTTTTTTTCTTCCAATCTCTCATGCGCAATGAGACGATTAGGACTCTGGTGGAATAAGTGGGACCAGGTCCGACCTGGCAGGCCTGGGGGCAGGCCGACGCGCCGGCCGACGACAAGTCACGCTACATCGACGTTCGAACGACAGTGGCATTACGACGATCCCGTAACGGCGTCATTAAATAACGATGACCGGCTTCTTGTCGGGGCCCTGCGGCCGCGCTTTTTGCAAGATCCCGAGTGAGACTAGGCGTCTGCAATTTATGATTTTCGAGCGCGCGCTACGGCTCCCGGCGGGGCTCAGCGGCAGGAGGCGAGAAGGGATAGGAGCGAGAGACAGAAAGAGTGAACGGCGGTTACGGTGTCGGGGCGACGGCGGAGGGTCGGGGGAGGGGGAGGGGGAGGGGTAAGAGGCGCAGGTCGTCGAACCAGCCAATCGCGACCCGGTCCCTGCACCTGAATTCTAACGAGGCCCATCGGGGTATATAGGTGCCGAGGCGTCGCTCTCGGGCCCGATTTTTCCGCCCGCTCGGCCACCAGGAGGTGAGTTACGTCTTACGCCTCGAACATTGTTCTAAAGGATCGTGCGTACTGCGTGTGCGTCCACCGTAGGATGCACACTTTGGCAATTGTACTGTTTTAGTGACACTTGGCAATCATTTTTATCGATTAAGGGCGTTCACTGGCTGTCGCTTAATTGATTATTCGTTGGTTTATAAAAAAAAAAAAAAAAAAAAAAAAAAAAAAAAAAGCTGCGCGATATTGACGATACGTAAGTTATAATATTGATTAATATATAATCGTTGTTTGGTGGAGGGAGACTAATGGCTCGAGACGACGATGTCCTTGTTCGAATGAGACTTTTCACCTCTGAA